AACCTCTGGGGGCTCCACCAAATCCCGCCGGGGGTGCAATAGAGCCCTTATCTGCCCTTGCCTTTGTCCACTGTGGAAATTTCCTTCACAATCCGGCTTCTATTCACACGTCATCTGTTGCTTAAAATGACCTTCCCTTTGCCAAGAGAAAGCCATCTTTCTGTCACTTCCGCCATTTATCCTCAGCATCCTCTTTGCCTCTTCCCTGAGATGCACATTTCAAAGGACCGTGTTTGTGCTACCCTAGGTCTTGGTTTCTCTGGCCTGCATCCGCCACCCTTTGTTCATAGAAAGATCATGTAAGTCACATGACATCATCTCAGGTCCCCTACCTGCCCTGGTCACTCTCCCCCAGGGCTCCCTAGTCCTTCAATTCCCACCCTGGAGTCAGGACTCTAGGCCTAATGAAACTGTAAAAATAGCTACCATTTGCTCAGCCCCTACTACACACATGCTAGGCCCTCTGCTAGGCTCCTTCTTAAGCACTTGCTAGGTTTTATATTAATATTGTTATTCATTATTAATCAAAATAATAGGATATATACTTCATGGGCACAAGGACTTTGCCTGCTTATTTACTGCTGTATATCCAGCCCCAGGACAGTGGCTTACTGAAAGGATAAAGTATTATTATTGTGTTGTTATTGCTATTATTATTAACATCTTTTGCACTCTTACTGTGTACCAGCCAATGTGTTTCATATATATATGCATATTTTGGTCTCGTGAAGAGGAAGACTTATTGAATCTCTGTTTCTTTCTCTTATTTTCTTTGTCTCTCTTGCTCTCTCTCATGCACACACACACACAAACACACAACTGAGGCTTCAGAGATTAAGCGACATGCCTGAGGTCTGTTTTCCATCCACTATAAATCTCCCCTAGCAAAGGGCAGCCTAGCAAGGAGAATCTTCACAAGCATCCACAGAGTGATGTGAAGGGGCAGGAAGGTGGTTCAGGTTATGCAGCTGCAAGGTCCCAGACGCAGAGTTCGGAAGCAGCACTGAGGCACTATTTAGAGCTGACAGTTCACAGAAGCGATCCGGGAATCACTACAGACTTTGGCCAGGAGATGGCAGCTCTTGGCTGCAGCAGCCAAACCGGCCCATCAGATGCAGGTTCTCTGGCAGCATCCAGAACAAGTGAGGATGCTCGGTCCTGCCCCATCCAGGACCTCCATGCCGCCCCTTCCCCAGCATTGTGTGGAGTTCTGCTCTCCAAGCCTCCAGGGTATTGGATGGAACTGATTGCACAAATTTTCACATGCTGAACTCCTCTGCATGTCAAACCACGTGCAGCATCTGTTAATTCTTACCAAGAATCCTGTGAAGCAGACCATATTCTTCCCAGTTTACAGATGAGGAAACTGAGACTCAGAAAAAATATGTAACTTGCCCAGAACCACCTGGCTGGTAAGGGGCAGAGCTGGACTCAGGCCAGGACTCCTGGCTCAGAGCTCAGGGGAACAGGATCAGGGACAACCCACCTCTGCTCAGAGCAGTGAGACCCCTCAGACCATAAATATCAACTGAGGGGGACGATAATGAGAGGACCATATGGGGTTCCTGTAGGTTAAAAAGCCACCTCATAACTAGTAGGTGAAGCACCTGACACAACCTTTCTCACCACCTAGTTTTATCACACCTGACTTCCAAAGGAGGAAACTGGGTCCAGGAGATGTTAAGTCATTTACCTAAGGTAAATAATAGCTCAAAATAGAGCTCAGCAGGTAAATAGGAGAGTCAGACTTTATAACACCAAAATCCCTCTTCCCTCGCCACCGCTTCCCTCCCCGGTAAGGTTTAAAGGACAATTTAGGACAAGCCAAAAAGAAGTATGATGTTTTCAAAGGCAATATCAACTTGGTAGGATTCTCTTATAAACCTCACACTGCATCACTGATGGCTGTTCCTTAGTTCAGGTAAATTACAGAGAACCCCGCCAAGCTTTAAGATCCATCAGCCCCTCCCAAAGGCAAACCCCAAGGGTCCCTGTCTGGGTGGCCTGACTCCTGAGAACTCTCGTGTCTCTATCAGCCATTGCTCTGACACTGTCCTCAGCTGTGCAAATGTGGGGGGCACCTTCCTTCCCATCAGATCCTGCTGGGAAGGGAAGGTGGGCTGGATGGACACACTGCTCTGGGGGCAGAAAGAAAATTGAATCAAATAGAACTGTGGACAGAACTCAGAGAGGCTGCAGAGAAGGGGCTGCTTCCCCTGAGACCAAGGGAAGGCCCTCAGTGGGGATTTGTAGGAGGGACAGTTAACAGCGCCATCACGTGGAGGCATGGGCTTTGACTGGAGAACCAGGTCTTCGGTTTGGCTCCATTCCATGGGCAGGCATTAATACCTCACCGGAGCCTTTCACGACGGCTTGCCACGCAACCTGAGACGAGATCGCACAAAGCCTCTGTGCCTCAGTTTCCCCATCTGTGAGACAGGAATCATTACACTTTTGCCCTCTCCCCTGGCCCTACCTGGAGTTAAGGGCTGTGCCTGAATACAAAGGCTGATTCTTAAATGATCGCAGCTGAACAGCAGGCTGGCAGCAGAATAACGGGACAACAGCAGGCCACCTGACACCTCCCTTCTGCGCCAGGCCTGCCCCCAAGCCGTTACGCACTGGGATGGGAGCCGGGTGCTCAGCTCAAATTGCCAACAGGTCAGCACCTGTGTGGCTTAGAACAAAGCGAAATGGTTTCTAGTGAATGTAGCAGCCGAGGCCAAGGTTGGTGCTGCTGTAAGGGTGGCTCAACACAAAGCAGAGCAAGTGAGGCTGATACCCAAGGTTCCTCTGTGCCAGGCCTGGAGACCTACCTGTGCGTGGCCTGGCTGAGGGGATCCGCGTAGAGACAGGCTAAGTTCAGAAGATACTTGGAAGCCAGCATGATTTGTCATCTCTGAGAACCTTCCATGCACTCAGGGCTGCTGCATCACGGCCAGGCTCCTCTCAGGAAACTCACACCCTCGTCTCCTGACTCACGATCCCCCAGCCCTCCTGTCCCCTCTCCTCCCCTTACCTGTCATGGCTGAGGCACCCAAGAGAGCGGGTACTTGCCCCAGCTTGGCAAATGCATCAACCTGCAGGTGGAAAGGGCACAGCTGCTTGCCATCAGGTTAGGGGTGGGATGCAGGTTCAGGGGTCTGAGAACAGCGTGAGGCCTTCTCAGAGCAGCCCCTGAGCACCAGAGCCAGCCGATGGCTGAGCCTCACTCTGTGACCTGACTGTGAGCAGCCTCTAGGTCCCCTGGCTCACCCAGAGAACTTTTCCCACCCCCTCCCCTGGGTTGTTCCCCCTGCTGTGTCCCCAGCCTTAGCAACCTAGCTGCCACCTGCCAGAGCCATGGAGGACCTATATATCCCCTTACCTAGCAACAGCAGCATCCCTGTGCTAGGTTTTCCCTGAGAGACCATGGGAAGCCAGGGCTGCAGACCCCATGGGAGCCTGAAGCTGCCTTAGACCAGAACAGGGCGAGAGAGCCCCTTTCTGTGAACGCCTGCTTTCTCCCCTCATCTACACCCCAGTCATCCCAGTTCTGCCCCTGTTGACTTCTTTCGGAAACAAGGAAATGCAGACTCAGCATTGCAGAGAGAAGAGAAATAAGGCCCCAGAGGCAGGCTGCTTGCTTGGCAAAAAAAGCAAAGGAGCTGGCCAGGCTTTCTGTTCCTTTGGCTTCCATGAGCTGCTGCCTCTTCTTTGCCTCATTATTAGCCTGGGGGAGCATCTGTCCATTTCATCGTGTAGTTAGTAAACCTTTTATCTGCTTCATCATCTCTGAAAGAGAGTTCCCAGTTACCTGATGGGACCTTGAGGTTCAGAGAGGTTGGGGAGCATGCCCAGGGCCACCCAGCAAGTCAGAAGACAAGATGAGAACTCACATTCCCCAGGCTGGGTCTTTGTGGCCTCTCTGCAGTCCACTTAGTCCTCACCCGCATTTAAAATCAAGAGCTGCCTTGTGTCTGCGCTCATCATCTCCAAGCTGGGAGGGAAACAGGACCCTGAGATGTTCATCTGCAACTTGGAACTGAGCTAAGCCTAACCAGGAGTTTCTCCAGGATCTAAAACAGCAGGGGCTGAGGGTGATTGGTGAAAAAAGGAAGGAGAAGAAGGTGAGAAATGTGCAAACCTAATGGAAGAGAGGGAAGAAGGGTACTAATATCAATTAAGCCCCTACTAGCTGCCAAGCACCGCAGTAGGTCCTTTCCTCGAAACAGTTTAGGAGGGAGATCTTCTTACACCTGTTCATGAACAACTTAGCAGACCCAGGACCCAAGTAGAGGTGGGTTTGCCTTCAGACTGAGGAAGGGCTGGGCAGATGCTGGGCGGAATCTCTGCATGCTAATTATACCCAACTAGACTTCACTGCAGGGAAGCAGAAAATCAGAAGGACCGAGCACTAGCTGATGACACCCAAATAGGTTCCTGAAACGGTGGGGAAATGAAAACAATGGTGCACTGAGTCCAAAAGCCTGGCCCCAAGGGCTGGATCTGTTACTTACTTGCTCTGGGGCCATAACAACCACTTAACCTCCAGGAGTCTTGGTTTTCCTCTTCTGTAAAATGGTGATAATTTCTCAGAGTTGTTATGAGGTCATTTAATCCTCACAGCGTTTATGAAAACTACAGAACAATATCCAGCTGCCATAGTTCATTGTTCTGCCTACAGCATCTATAAAAGTAGACAAATGATTGACAAAAACAGACAGTAGGGCAGCCTTATCTTTAAAAGCTCAGCAATGCACACAACAAGCCAGCAGCCAGCTGTTTCTACAATTGCTAACTAGTTGCTGCAATTAATAAACCTGTTTTACCAGGTCATATAGATGCATAAGTGAATGTTGTATTTTGAACCAATTATGTAGCTGCCACAGAGCGCCCCCACCCCAACTTAGACTCAGCAGAGAGAAGGGAAGGCGGATAAGAGTCCTCCCCGGGGCTCTGAGCTCCAGCCTGAGAGTTTCCCTCACTCAACTCACTGAGTGTTTTTCCTTCACTTACAGGATCCCAACAGTGATCGACCCCTGAACAGCTTTGGTAAGCTCAGGTCCGGCTTTCCTCTCTCTACCTCAGCATTTGAGTTCGAATTAGTTACCAAGTAGATACTAAACCCCTCTTACATGGCCCTCACCACCACCTTCTGGTGCTAAAGGCTATGGGAGACATTCACCCATCATTCAGCAAATATCACTGAGCAAGTGTGAGCTCCAGGATTCATTCTAGAAGTAGGAGGCGTGGTCCCCGGGGAGACAGGACCATCAAACCTAAAACTCCAACAGCAGTGATGCCCCTAGTTCATTCACTCAGTTCCTCATTCTCTCATTCATTCAACAATCCTGTGAGTGCCTTTCGTGTGCTGGGCCCTGGGCTGGACACTGGGCTGTAGCAGCAAATACGACAACCGAAGTCCCTGCCCTCATGGAGTTTACAGTCTGACCTTGCTGCCCACGAACAAACGGGACAAAGGTGTTTTCACTGGTAGAATAGAAAATGGCAGGGCTTGCCTGATTTACAGGGAGAAAAAATGAGTTAATAGATAAAATGCTCCCAAATATAAGTGCTTTTTCTCCTATTCCGTTTTCCTAAACCATTGATGCCTACCCCTGAGAGCCTGCTGGATCAGCAAAACGAGCCAGCAAGGAACAAATTAACACAACAGATCAATAAGGAAATGACCGATTCCACTTACTCTGACGGCTTATTTACTACAGGGTCACCAGTTAATGAGATTACATACAATATGATCTTCAGCAGGTAAAGCGATGCCTGCTTTATACTTCAGAATTTAAGATATTAATATTCCATGGTGTCCCCAGAGAACAGCAGACACGCAAGCGCTCCAGCCCCTGAGTAAGCCTGGGAACGACCCAGCCAGAAAACAATGGGGGGAGGGGGAGCTCAGGATGGGGAGCTCAGTGCCGAGGGGTTAGGGACAGCGTCCTCGGGGACCAGGCGCCCTGGGCAAAGGCCCTCCAGGAGCAAACTGTCCCAAGCCAGAAGGAAGTGAGGAGGGTCTCGGTGGTGGAGGGAAGAACCAGAGCAACGATTCAGAGGTGAGGATGACTAGAGGTTGTGCATGGATCAGGGAGAGAAGATGCCGGTGCGGAAGTGGGGTTGGTGAGGACTAGCAGTGGGAGGTCCACTTGGTTAGGAGAGGGAGGCCAAATTACACTGGCTTTGAAAGCCCGGAGAAGAGTGTGGTCCAGAGATGGAAGTCATGGGGAGCCCTGGAGGGATGGGATGAAAGCAATATGCAGGGAAGCGCTGTCTGGCAGCCGTGGGCAGGACAGGCTGGAGGAAGGAACCGTGGCAGGCAGGGAGGCTATTCATAGCTCAGCGGGATGGTTAACTTTATGTATGAGACAAGAAACCCAGAAAACCCTTCTCTTCCTGATGATGGCCTCCCTGAGAACGTCAGGGAGGCAGGGACATGGGGCCCTGGACCAGGCAACTCATCAAGGGACTCGCAGCAAGTCATTCACTTCTGGGAAAACAAGCCAGCCTTGTATCCCCAGAGGCAGGTGCTCAATAAATAAGTCACATGTAAACAAATGAACAAAATATCTCCATGTCCACGGCCACAGGAAAGAGGACAGTTCCGAACACTCACTGCTGGAACTTTAAAAACAATATGCACTAACATTATTGATAACCTAACCTGTGCCAGTCCTGACGGTAACAGACAATACGACCCACATCACCACAGCTGAGCTCTGTGTCTGAGGTTTAAACTCTCCCTTTTGAGGAAACACAGTTTCCTATGCTTTCCCCATCCACAGAGTCAATGATATCAGCACGCACTGGGCAGCAGTCTCTGGCAGGGCGCCATCCTCTGCTTTTGAAGAGCTGAGAAAAGAGATAAAGACAGAGACAAAACTAGCCATCATTCCAGGCAGAACAAATGAGAGCTGTAAGGAAAGACAGGAGGGCTGTGCTGAAGAGAACAAGCACAGAGCAATTCATTTATTCATTCGTCAGATTATCTTGTGAGTGCTGACAACAGGCCAGGCACTGTCCTGGGCACCAGGGACTCAGCAGGAAACAAAACAGATACAAGTCCCCATCTTCATGCAGACTTCATTTCAGGTAGAGATGGGAGGGGACAGATGGTATTCAAAATCTGGCAGACATCAGAGGGACTCTGAAAAAAATAAAACAGGGAAGAAGGCGAGGAAAGGCTGGAAGACTGTATTACAAATAGGGAGGGCAAGGAAGACCTCTTGAAGACAGTGACTCCTGAAGGAAGGACACTTTAGTGGAGGTGAGGGAGCAAGCCACGTGCAGGTGAGGGGAGGAGAGCGGCCTGTTGCTTTCCAGGCATCCTCAGGGTTACTATAATTCCTCCCCTACTTCTCCCTGGAGGAGAAGTCCCTGAGTCACCTCCCCAGCTCATTGTCTGCCAGGAGAGGGGACACCAAAGAACCTACCTCTGATACTTTGTGACAATTTAACTTTTCAACGGCCTGCCCGTCTCCTTGAATAGCCATGTGAAATGAACAATATAGTTATTATCAGCCCTGTTTTAGACATCCATAGGCACCCCCTGGCCCCCCTAACCCCTGACTCTTCTGTTCCAGTCCGTCCCCTCCCTGGTGAGAGAATCATCTTTCTAAATATTAATGTGATCACAGCTCTCTGCTGCTCAAAAGCTTTCCATGGCCCCTCACTGTCTTCAGGATAAAATCCAAACCCCTTACCACCACAGTCAAGACTCTTCTTCACAAGCTGACTTTGCCAGCCCTGCCCCACAACATGCTTTTACCCACCTTACAACCCAGGCACACCAGCAGCTCACAGCTCCCCACCCCCAGGACTTCACCCCTCCTCCCTCTCCCAACCGCACCTCCAGTGGCCCACTGAAGTGCCTCGATGGTGTCTGGCGTCACTGGCAGCTAGGTCCTTGTTTGCCTCTTCCTCCAAATTGTAATCTCCTTAAAGATAGGCCCTTTCTAGAGACCAGCTGTGTGTTAAACTGAGTTGGAGATGGGGGCCATTAAGATGCCTTTGTTCACAAGTATGTATTAAGCCTTTACTAAGCACATACTGTGCTGGCAGCCCCTGCCCTCCTCTAGCTTATAGTTTAATCAAGAGATAAGTCAGGAAAGAGGATAAATGATAGTAAAGGGAAAGGGTACATGCCCCTCCTGGGGAGACGCAGGTCAGGCTGGACAGGGTGGAACTTTCCAGAACAGGCTGTCAAAACAAAGGGAAGGTGCCAAGGAGGCTCATTTGAGGCGCGCTTGTGAAGATGGACAAGCCCAGGTGAGTGAAAGGAGGCGGGGGACTCACGCGCTGAGGAGGCTGAGCCAGTTGCAGGAATAAGGCCCCTCTCGACC